TAAATATTATAAAAAATAAGATAAATAAAATCTTTTTTAAAAAAAGCTTAACAAGTGGGAATTCATAAAGATTGGTTGCAATATAGAATCTGAAACCACATCACTTAACTCTTCATACTCTGTTACATTAAAATCCATTGGTCTATCTCACACTCAAAGGATCTTTTATTCATGTATGGTTTATACATCATGCACCAGACATCCGAAAATTATTCGTTTACTGAGTTATGCACACCTTCTAAATGTTGGCATATATCATCATACAATATCCCCCCAAAAATCACATTTGTTAATGTCACTACCAATATCTATCATCAGAAAACTCTTTCAGTGTCAGTAAGCTGCCCAGCTCATGACAGTAGATACAAGTTTTCTGAAATTCTAATTTTTGCTTGAAAGCTCGAATTCTATCACTGGCAAGAAATGCTGACAGTTTGGCTTGAAAGTTCCAGGCTCACTTTGCTCATTTCCAAACAAAATGTCTTCCAAATGTCCAAGTCTGAAAGCCACATTTGTTTTTCAGTCTTTCACATAAAACGGGTGTTTCATGAAGAAAATGGCTGGTTCATCTCTCAGCTCACATGACCACACAAGTGTTTTCCTCAAAACAACTATCCAACATCACTGTGCAGCAGAAGGGCTTAATGAGAACTTTCTATTTCATCAGCCAGAATGTAAGTACTCTTAGGTCAGTATTTGACTACATTAGTAAGTTTTACTGCTTCATCAAGGGCATTCCTAAGTGAAACTGAGGGGGTTTCTTCCTATCAGCAATTTGTGTCAGTGAGAAATACAATGACCACTATGAAAGTTTGTTGCTACCGCCTGATGTGGAGCAAGTTTCCAGAGATTTCACTTCCCAGGGCTTTTGTAACCAGTAGTGCAAATGTCAACACCATGAAAAATCCAAATGGTATCTGCTATTATGGAAAGAGATTTGGCCTTGAGGCCCCACTGAAAAGACACAAGAGCCCCCAAGGGTCCTCCTACAATTTGAGAATCACTGCCTTAACTCCATAAATTTGATATAACAGATGTGATTCCAGAAGCCTTTTAGATCAAGAGAAAATAAGAAATTCCATCCAAAACACTGTATTTACTTTCCAAAGCACTGAACCATTGAGATAGAATGTGGCTGAGTTGAAAAGGCATGCACATGGCATCAAACAGATCCAGGTTTGAGTTCCAGCTCAAGTCCTAACTTATTTCATGTTACAGTAATCTCTTTAAATCTCAGTCTTCTCATTTGTAGATAATATCTTCATTTTGCTAGTTGAAATAATATGTATATAAAGCACCTGGCATCTAGAAACTCATTAAGTAGTTCTTATTATCTAATGAGTAATCAAATATTGCCTTGTGACACAGTCACCTTGTATTACATAAATTGCCTCTATGCCTTCTCCCCCCAGTGAGATTTTAACATCTTTGAAACCATATGCTTCTTTATACTCCCAGGAAGACCCTCCTAGGAATGAGTCATGATGATTTATGCACAGTAAGCCCATGATTTAGCCAACTTGAAGTACAAACAACACTGTCAAATGGATTTACACCTTCCCCTCTCTGGCTTTCATTTCTCCCTCAGTGGTGCCTGCCCCTCCCCGTTGTCTTTATGATCTTTCTGTTTTCTGTCCTCTCCACATCTGACTCACTAGACTATGCACTCCTGGGCCTGTCTTCTCTTTATCCCTAGTGTCTACCATGAAATTTGGTGCACAGGAACTGTTCAAACAGTGCTTGTTGAATACAAGCTAACTGATAGATGACTGGATGAGTGTCCCCAGATTGCTTAATGCAATTGACAGTCCTTATCTTTATGGCACATGGACTTTCAGAGATAATCAACACCATGACCAACTTCCTCCTTCTTCAAATACAATTCTCCATAGGTTTTTATGAAATCTGTCTTTTTTCTCTACTTTGTTACTTTTCATTCTCCTTTACTGATTCCTCCTCTTAGACCTGACCTTTAAATAGTGATTTAGGTTAGGGTTCGGGTCTAGGAACTCTCTCTTTACATTTTTTTCTCTGTATAAATTCACCCATACCCACAGCTTTGATTACCATCAGTATGCCAACAATTACCAGTTGTAATCTCCCATCTAGACCTCTGAGTTCCAGACGTGTGGATATCTCACCTGTACCTCAAACAAGTCCAGGATCTTCCCCCTCAATCCTACTTCTCCTACAGAGTTTGTTTCCCAGTGTCAGACATCACCACTCACCCAACTGCACAGTTACAATCTTGGGAGGAATTCATCTCAACACAATCGCACTGCATGGGTTTGGCACAACCTAAGTAGGTGAACCCAAGCAGCTGTTGTGTCATGAAGTATAACATTTTAGAACTGAAAAATCATTCTAGAAGGAAAGATGGTGGAGGAGTAGGGGACCCTATTTCAACTGGTCCCCGGAATTGAGCTGGATATCTACAAGACCACTCTGAGCACCCACGAAATGAGCCTGAGATGTAAGAAGATCTGGATCTCTACAAGCAGAATATCGCAGACAGGTGGTTTTGAGGTACGAAGCAGGGAGCCCTGATTCCGCGGGCAGATATCAGAGGATAAA